CCTCCATAAAAGAGCCATGGAAGACGATCTGAATATTAAAAGATAGCAGGTTTGACAAAGCTATTTGATCTGGGGGCATCTGGAAGAATATATGTGAGCTTATTTGGGCAGCAGTGGTATAAAAAAGGAAAAGATGCCATGGCTGTTAGAAATAAAATTCTGTGGAATAGATCAATAAGCAAGAAATTTCAGAGGTAGAATAAATCCTCAAAGAGGACTATTTTCTTGATTGTCTTAATCACTAAGCTTGTCTTGTACAATATTATTTGTTAATCTGTCTAAAGGAGCACCTCATTTTAGGAAGTCCAATAAAGTCCAATACCACATCAACAGATAAGCATTTCTTTGGTTAATGTGCACATTTGTATATAGAAATCTACATTTGTAGACCACTAAATGGTCAGAGATACATGGACATAAATTGCTTAAAGTACTCAATCTTAAATCGTATGTATTGCTTGTTCTTCTCATGTAGTGTCTCTATACAATAATGGTGGAGATTCAGTGAGTGTCTTAACGTAGATAGTGTGTATCGTGCTAGAATTCAATGTTTATCCATACTTAAAGAGGGACAGATTATAGATAGAGAACTAGGCCAGACAGAAATTGATGACTGTCCACTGAGCACCCAATTGTGAACAACTAACTATACCTAAAGACTAATGAGGAAAGATAAAAATCACAGAGTTAAATGTGCACGCTCCCATACCTTGGGGTGTGCTGCAGTTTATATTGCCCCAAATTCAAACTAGAGACCGCCACGGCTTAGGACTAAGTGGAGCAACATGCTCTCTTTATTAATTTGGATAACAGTTGAGCAAAACCATTGTGATAATATCAGAGGCCTAATTTAACTTGCTGAATGGCTATGAACAAGGAACCTAGCTTCTTTGTGCTTCTAAGCACTTTGGAAATAAAAGCTAAAGATGAGGTACCTTTAGGGCCAGGTTTAAGGCACACGTGTGGCAAGCAGGAACATAGATGTAAATCCAAAGCATACCGTATTTGTTTACTCTCTATATTTATGGCGATTTTAATTTCTTTCTACAAAAAGCTTTTCCTCATTGGAAATTAACTAGCAGGGTAAAGCAAACCACGAGGCGGTTTTTAATAACCCATTTCCACTAAATGTCAGACCTCTGGCTCTGACATCTGCTTTGAGTTACTGAAACAGCTGTCTGAAATAACTGGAGCAACCAAGATCTTTGCTTGTTTCTGGAAATACAATGCTTGGAACATGGACAGAAGAATCAGAATAAGACTATCAAGTCCTCTAAGACATTAGCTCAGTCTTGGCAAAAACTTGTATGGTTAAAAAAATTAAATTATTTTTTGAAAGATACATACATGGCCAAGGAAATCTGAGACAAGTTAGAGAAGAAAACTTTTAACAGTGGATCAGAAGATAAATTTAGCAGATTGTAACCAACATTTTTTTCCTGAGCAAATTAAACAGAAACAGAAGACATTACATGTACTGCTTAACAAAATTTTTTGTTTCTGATTATTTATATGTTCATGTGACTATAAATGAAACTGTTGTATCTACATTTATATATGTGTATAAAAGCACATAAGCAGCCGCCTTTACTTTAGTATCCTAGTTTGTAATGAAAACATGCATAATACATAATTCAACTAGGCTGGTGGCCACTGTTCAGTGTATCAAAGAAGCTTGGATAACCTTATGAAGCTTTTCCAATGGGGGAGTCTTTAATTCTCAGATTTAAGATTATCAGCAACTTCTTAATATCAGCCTAACATACGTACCTAATGGTATGCTGTCTCTGCCTAATTCAGCTGTTTCTATTTACACACAAAACCAAACACAAGCGTAAGTGTACACATACGCACACACATGCACACATACACACACACACTGCTTTTCCAGTTATAAATATTTTTAGGTACAAATAAACGATTCCAACCACATAGGTCTTATATTAATGCTTAAACTAGCAGGAAGCAAACAAAAAAAAATACTAAGATCATAGCGTCACAGAAAGCCCAGCCAAAGGGCTGGAGAGACAGTTGAGTGAGTGCAAGCAAGGCCTGCTGGATGAAGACCTGAGTTTAGGTTCCTAGCACCCATATAAATGTTGGGTATAGTGGTGAGCACTTATAAGCATACTACTAGGGGAAGTAGGGTAGACAGGTGAACCCGAGGCGGCTTCAGCCTGTGAGGGTGTTTCAGCAAGCAAAACTGTCTCAAAAAATAAAATGCAAAGAGTTAGAGGAACACACCAGTCTCTGGCCTCCAGTCCTAGGTCCTTCATAACACACACACACACACACACACACACACACCTCCTTAAATACTCTGAGAATTTAGCTATTTATTATCTTACAATTTAGTGCCTTCCAAGAATGAGTTAATTTTTTTTCAAGCCAGTGGGACAGATTTGAGATAAGTCCTTTCTCCCATATTAGAGCACTCAAATCAGTATTTAGGGTATCATATTATTCCTTAAGTGCCAATTTAATAACATGACCCAGGTAGGCTGAACAGAGCTTCCCCGGGTCCCAAAACAAGCAGAGCAAAACTACATTAGAAAATGTTGACTCTAGGCATGTGAACTGCAAATATGACAGTAGGAAAGGTATATTCTTCATGTCTCAGGAAGCATCTTCCACATAGTCTACCTGTGAGAACTCTAGACGTGGGGTGCAGCTGGCTAAGACAAAGGATTTCCTTTTCAAGCTGATCAGAGTAGACCTCAGCCAGGGGTCTTGTGCTCGTGTCTTCTCTGCTATATTCCTGCGGCTTAGATGTAGAAAAAATGTCCAGGCTACTAACAGAATAGCATTTAGCCTCTCACAGAGCAGGTAAGCAGGCCACCAGTTCAAGAAGCTGGGGTTAAGCACATGCCTATGATCTTTAGGGAAAGATGAAGGGGCGACTACATGTGTTGTAGATGCCTCCAGCCCCAAAGCATCTAACCACCTTGAAGAAGAAACCTCTACAATAGTCTAATTCCTTCCTCCCATGCAGACTGCTTCAGGAATTCATTCTTGTGAAATATATGCCCACTAAAGAAACTGTATTAATGCATCAAGTTCTGAACTTTTTTGGAGTACTGCATCACCCTGAAACGTGAGTTCTTGGAAAACCAGGAACTTGTTCTTTCTTTGCCTTCCTAACACTTTCTCTGCTACATAGTAGGGACTAGTAAAATCAGTAAAATGTGGAAGGACAAAGTGAGGATGACAAAGGCGAAGGCATTTTTATTTCTCCCAAGCTGGTATATAATCTTCTCTTTCTAAATAATGAGAACTAACGAGAGGAGATACCTAAAAGAGTTAGGATGGGGATGGGGCAAGGGGTTAGTGGAAGACAGAGAAGAGTTCCATCCGTTAAAAATCAAACAGTGGTGTTCAGCAGTCAAAAGATGGCTGGTACAGACATTTAAAATTAGCTTCCTTGATGGTTCCTTAGCAACGCTCTACCAGAACATTATTGCTTTTAATGTGCACTGTACAACGTTCACTCACACATCAAACAGCTAGGAAATGGCCATTGTTAACTGACACCGAACAAAAAGATAGAGAAAACACACTACTCAAAAGACCCTCCTTATTGCCCTTATGGAGACAAACAAAGCCCTCCGATTTTTCCACCACTGTTCCCTGCCTAGGCTGCCCATTAGGGGTGCTAATCACTGGCCACAAGGCTTTCTTTTTCCTCCTTTCTGCTTCTCTGCACTTTCTTTTTGTCAGCTCACGGGTGACCTTAACTGTGTTTTTGCAGGCTGATGGGGGGTGGTTCAGTGACTGTGTCAGGTAATAAGCCATAACAAGAGCAGTAAAATATCTCTTTGGATGAAGTAAGCCATTTGCCGCTAATACAGGCACGGGGGAACATTTGTGTCCTAAAGTCCTGCTTTTGTAGGGGGTGCAAGACTGTACAAGGTCAATGTGATAGAGAAAAAGAATGCCTTTCTTTGCAAGGAAGTAAAAAGCCGATAGCCTTCCCTATGGAGAGCTAATTATCTCTATATTGAAAGGATGGGGTATGATTCAGTTTTCAAACACAAAGGGCAGCCAGAATCCCCATCACTATCACTTCTCAGGCATTTTCTAGGCCTCGCTGTTACACTGTAGCCTTACATCCCTGGCAAAGGTGCCATAGAACACTAATTTTCTCATCGGGGAAAATCATATAGTAACTGCTCTTAAAGATCCCATGTAATTAGCTCTTCGGATCAACGTTTGAACCATGTTGTACAAGGTGGAATTCTTCCTTCCAGAAACAATTCATTCACACAGGTACCTGAACTCAAAATACACCAAGCCAGAAGTCTTTTCTGAGAACAAAGTTTCATCAATGAAACCAAATTGGCATTTTGCCAGCATGTGCTGTCTTCCAACGGACAGAAACACATCAGTTAGAATGGATGGGAATGGCGAAGTCGGACTCCCTTGGAGCTCTAGGTCCTTACCTCTTGAGCTCGGGAAGGAGTTGTTGAGTTGCTCCATCACTTCCTCTAATCCTGTGCTTGTATCTTGGGGAGGACTCAGAAGATCTTCCTCACCTTAGTGAAAGAGAAACAAGGAATAGCTGTCATACTCCTGCTGAATGCAAACACAGGCGAGGGCCAAGGAGCATTTTACAGACAACTGTAAGCTCATTTTGTTTGCTCATAACAACAACAACAACAACAACAAATCCTTAAGCAACTCCTCAAACTCTATAATTAGGAACTACTTCCTTAATGTGTGGAAATCCACATGGAAATTTATCTGTGTTATTATTCTTAGAGAAGAAAACTGTCCGTACTCATTCATTAACATAAAGTCACTAAAACATCTTTTCTTGAAGTCCATTGAGAAATGTGAAAGCTTTTTTAAAAAAAAAAAAACAGTTACTATTACACACTTGTAATACGTTTCCTTAGCACAAAAGAAAAACAAGAATGTGGCAGATTGGAATTACTCCATAAAGGCAATAAGAGAGAAAGAGAAACTGGGGCTTCCAGTCTTTTACAATTAACAACAACAAAACCAAAATTAAGGAAACATTCAAGTCAAATGTAATAAAAGGAATAAACACTGTACACGAACTAATAAATACTATCATTAGTATTCTAAGGGTAGTAGACAGGGAATAGTGAGGAGGGATGCTCTTTATTCTCTGTTACCTAGAACTGCATTATCATCTTTGAACAGGGAATTTGTTGTCGATAATACGTGGATCATTGTCTCTACTCAAACAATATTTTCAGTAATGGGAAATCTTCTTAGGTGCAAACCAAACTAATTTGAATTCTGACGGTTCTTTGAAAGTTATTTTTCGAGGTGATTAAACTCCCAATCATGAAAATACTTTGGAAGCACACCATTGAAAGCAAGGCCTTGTTCATGCAAGTCAAAAATAGCGAATGGGCTTAAGGAAAGCTCAGATTCACGTGTGGCTTGGAAATGACTTGGGAGGTAGTGATGGAATGATTTACATATTCTTTTCATTGCCTTTGGTCTATGCCAAGCTTGGATTTTCAGCTGAGAGTACAATCCTGCATTCATTCCTGGGTTTTCAACCTTGTTTTAAAAGTACAAGCAGAAAGATCATTTGCTAAGAGAAAATCATATTGTAGGTGGACATGATTTCGCATGCCATTCCCAGAATGAAGGGTTCATAAGCTGGAATGGATAGAAAAGCCTCTGATTCGGGGAGTCTCAGGCCAGAACAAAGCTCTTTGAAATCCTAAGCACAGAAAAGACACAGCAAAGAATGAAGGTCACAAAAGAGTAAACCAAGATACTAGATTCCCCGATCTTTCTCTCTTCTCTCTGCACACATGTGTGAACATATACACAGATATACATATGCATGTACATTTTTAAGTTTCTATTGTCAGAAAAGAAAAAAATGGCATTTAGTATTTCTAGCTCATTTATTACTGCATTTTAATATACTTACTATCTGATGAAGATGGGATGAATAAAATATTACCAGAAAAAAACACAACCCTGGCCAATTGCAGGGCCAGTTACATCTTTATGTTTCATTACTGATGCAAATTGTTGTTGAACTGGAAAAGGTGAGGCATTTTTATTGGCAACAAGTCCATGTTCATGACAGGATGTCTTACAGATTAAATCAGAACGAGCGGAAACATTCAGCATGGATGTCAATATATCTGACAGTTTAATTACATCATACCTGAGTTCTAGGAACTTCATTGTACTGTATAAAGACCCAGGTACAGTTCAATGGTGTGATTGGCAGTAGTGTTCCTGAATATCTTCAAGGATCAAACTGTAATGTATAAGCTAATGGTGTCAGCTAAGTTCATCTTTACAGAAAAACTATTACCTGTCTCAAACAAAAGTTAAGTTCAAATGCAAAATTGGCTTGTTTTTAATAGTAAGCTTTTGTGACAGTGGTAATTGGATGCATTTAAACAGTTTTGGAGGTATTGGGGTTTGAATGCAGGGAGCTATGCATGCACTCAGGTATTGATCTAATAACTATTCTAATATGTTTAGAGCACAGAACACACCCTAAATTGTATATAAACAAGACTATTCTGCTATTGCAGGTTTTTAAAAATATCCTCCAGATTTCTCAGGATGGATTACCTCACCCCTTTGTAAGAACTGAAATCAGGTCCATCACATAAATACAGAGGGAGAAGTAAATAGACTAACTGAAGAATTTTTAGCATCTAATATCTATCAGATTATACTGAAAAAGTTGAGACAGTTAGATGAAGCCTGAATGGAGCCCCCTGACTGAGAAGAGGGAGAGCAGGAGGGGGAAGGAGCTAGAAGCAAAGAGTGATGTGACTATGATCAAAACACTTTATTTATTCAGATGTATAAAAATGTTACAATTTTCATCCCAGCACTCGGGAGGCAGAGGCAGGCAAATCTCTCTGAGTTTGGGGGTAGCCTGGTCTACAACAGCTAGTTCCAGGACAGGCTCCAAAGTTACAGAGAAACCCTGTCTCAAAAAACCAAAACCAAAACAACAAACAAAAAATAAAAAAAAACTCATCACTATACAATTAATATATGCTTATTCATATTGTCAGAATAAAGTACTAGAATTGTGCTGTTAGATATTGGACCAGGTTTCTTTTGTAATGCCTTTACAAAAAAATTTAAGGGGCTGGAGAGATAGTTTAGCAGTTAAGAGTGCTTCTTGTTCTTTCAGAAGACCTGAATTCAGTTCAAGGCATCCATGTTAGTAGCTCACAACCATCTGTAGCTACACCTCCAGGGGATCCAATGCCTGCTTTGAGAGGCACTCATAATTATGTAGGCATATAAAGGAGTGGTGAACACTCTAAGAAAAGGGGGAGATGCATCTGAGTCAGATTTGATTTTGTGGTGCTCCACATTGAATTCAGGGTCTTGTACATAGCAGATAAAAACTCTACCAGAGATTTAGTCTTGGCCCTAAAATTTATTTCTTGCGTAATGATTCTATATTGGTTATGTAAGAAATTATCTTTCATCTTAAAAGACATGTATTCAAGTCTTTTGGATAAAAATGTCATTTTGGGTAACAGACACTAAATGGGTCAATGAAGTAAAATAAACCAACAAACAATTTAAACATAATAAATATTCACATAAAAGGTGAATGAGTGAACAGAGTATATACAGATGTCATCTTAGATATATAAGTAGATGTCAATATAAACAAAACATTAGTATAATGATACATAAATAAATGGATATAAAGCAATGGAGGCAAACTTGCTAGAAATCTGGAGTTTTTCCCAAATAAAAAACAGAAAAAAGCTTATAAATCTCTAATATTAATAATAAAATCTATTTTGAATGTTTGTGAATCGTATGACATTTTAAATAAACAAACAGAAAATACTTTCAGCAAAGTAAGTTTGAGAAAGTAAGGAGTTATTGGATATTGCTAGGAAGGCACACATATGAGTATACAGAGGTCAGAAATGTAAAAAAAAACCTACTTTTGTAAATTTATATTTCTTTGTTTCTTCCAGTAAAATTTAAATTCTATTAGCAAATTCCCCCCATAACAACTGTATAGAATACATACAATGTAAAAAGACTTATCAGGGATTAGTATTTTGAGATCTGAAGAGGTACAATGCATCTGGAGATACTCTGCATCTGGGGTAGCTTGAACACAGTATCCCATCGAAATCAAACCCATGAATCCCTAATATCCAAATCCCTTAAATAAAGTACTTTCGTAGAAACTGCATGCATCCTCCCATCTATTTTAAATCATCTCGACATTACTTATAACACCTAATATGACATAAACGCTATGTAATTATTTGTTATATTATTATCACTCAATTCAGGGAATAATGACCCCAAAATATCTATGTTCCATTACAAATGAACAGCACCCTCCAATTATTTCTAAGTTTGCTTGCTTAAATCCATGTACAGAACTTGCACATGTGGAGGGCCAACTTAGTTGAATTCTTCAGACGGATTGGTTGGCATGGCTTCTCCCAAACTTCACTTGAAAGAAAATCACTGGGGCTGTATATTTAAAGAATACTTTATCTAGGCTATAACTTTAGTCAATATCATCCTTACCACATCTCAAACATTCACAGCACAATAACACATATCACAGTAATTTAAATACCTGTCACCATCATTTAAGAAATTCTCCTGGGCTTGAGAGATGACTCAGCTGTTAAGGGCTAGACTTAAAATCAAAAATATAAAAATTGCCCTCGTCCCCTTTATTAAAATTGGCTTACATGGCTCAATAAATACACACACACACACATACACACACACACACACACGTGCGCGCCTAAAAAAAAAAAAACAACAAAATCAAAACAACTTTGAATTTAGTCTTTTCTTTTGGAAAACAAATATTATAACATATCCTATCAATTCTATATAGGCAAGTTACCTCTTACCCTAATTCAGGTGCTCGCATATAGCACTTCTATCCCTGGATTCAGCTCTGCCATAATACTCCCGATTTACAAATCATCCGAACACAGCCTGCTATGGACTGAGTGCGTTAACAGGTATGCAGCCTCCTAGGTGTTGACAACCTAAATAATTAATGCTTCTAAGCATCCAGAGTTCTGAGGCTCCGTGCTAAAATATGTGACTGAATTTCTCATGCAGGACTTCAAGGGGATAAAAAAGGAAAACCCTGAAACAGAGATGCTAAAGCTCATTTGTTTCCAGAATTTAAAGGTGTTCAGCATTTTTGTTATGTCTATACCATCATTTACACTTCCAACAATCCACTAGCTGTATTCAGACCTCATATGCAAAAGGAAAATCGGACAGAGATGTCCCCACATTACTGAGGTGTGGTAAAGTCAGAAAAACATCAAATATATCTTCTTCTGTTTGAGACCAAATGCGCCCTGGCTTTCCTATAAAGTTTGGCTTCTCTGGACCTGGATGTGCTCTCTGTCCTGCTCCAGATTCTTGACCATGATTAGATTTTCTTCAACTATTCTCTTTCCTCAGGCATACTTACTTTCTTAGAGCCCCCGTCTACTTTCGTCACCGTGTGTGAATCTCTGTGATCACTCCCGTGATCTCAGCACCCTGCTGATGAATTGCTCAATCCTTTACACATCCCAGCATGAGCTCTGTATACTCTAACCTTTTCAGTGATCTCTCTTAGAGGCTGACTGGAAAACCTACACCTTCAGTGCTTAAATGTAGGAAGCGCAGGAAACGATGTTCATCCCTAATACCACACTATTTAACTCTCATGACCACTGTCTCACCCCTCTGACCGCAATTTATCTATTCGCATTTTCCCCATACCCACCTCAGTTTTGGGGACAATGTCTTACTGTAGTCCTGGCTAGCCTAGGCTATGGAGATCCAGCTGGCCTGGAACTTGCAGCAATCTCCCTGCCTCTGCTTCCCAGCCATTAGGATTCCAAGTGTGAGTCACCAGACCACCAGACCTAAATTGAATGTAATCTCCCGATCTTTTATGAGTCATTCAGACCTTCAGCCTTACCTCTCTGCCCTTACAGTCTGAGTTAGGCACTTTGCTTTTCTTTAGTCCAACCGACGGATTATCGGATTATCTCAAGCATGAATTCCTGAACAGGGCTCGGAGTATAAACAATCAAGAAGTCTTTATATGAGTTAATATTGATGTGGGGACATTGGTGGTTTTAAGCCTTGGTGTCACTATGTTGCTCAGTTAGGTCTCAAATCGATCCTGCCATGGTCAGGCTCCAGAGTGTCTGGTACAACAGGTATGTTATTACCTCAAGATCTTCCAGGAAGTAGTGGGAATCCCAAGGAGAGGTTGGGACCCAGGGAAAAGAACTAAAGTCATGGGGTTGATTCATGCGTACTCGTTCATACAAGAGGAGAAAAGAAGGGAATATATCAAATACTGGTGGCATCCATGGAAGATGATTGTCTAACAGCACAGGAAAAACAATGAGCATTGTCTGACAAGTGCCGTCGTAGCCATTTGTGATACCAAACAAGAGCTCCTCATTCTACTCTTCTTTTTATCATATATCCATCAGCAACTATAGACTTCTTAGAAGCCTGTCCTGTGCAGGCATCCATGATGAAGAATGAAGGATATAAGACCACACTAACCACTTACCATTTTCTCTAGAAATTCATCTAACTCTTGAACCCTCATTCCTGCTTGGGAATTGTGAGGGTCAATTGTCACCTGGGCAGACTCTAGAACCATCTAGGAGACAATATGTAGGCATGTCTGTGAGGAGGATTTAGACTAGTTAACTGAGGTAGGTGGTCTCTTTCCATTGACTGGGTTTCTGGTCTGAAGACAGAAAAGAGACCTGTGAGCTAATCACCAGCAATCATTTCTCTCTGCTTCCTAACTATGGATGGAACACGAGCAGTTTTCCCGAGCTTCTGCAGTCACACACTTTGGTAGACTCAAACTAAGCCCAAGTAAACCCTTTCACCCTTCAGCTGCTTTTTATCAGGGATAACTCTCAGCAATGGGGAAAGTAACTAATACAAAATGTTCTAAAATTTCCTTCCCTTTCCCTAATTCTCATTCCTTTGCACGGATCAACTTCCCTTCTCTGCAAACAGTCGATCACTCATTGTGATCTAATCAGCAGTAATTAACTTTCGTTTCCATTGGGCTCATTTAGATTTCATACTTTTAAGGATATCTTTCCTGAAGCCATATCTACATCTCAGTCCTTTACTGCCCTAACTGCTCAAATGGAGGTTGTCCTACTTAGCTGCACCTGCCAACACGACACAGCTCAGGGCCACCTAAAAGAGGAGTCTCAGTTGAAAGATTGCTCCGACAGACTGGCCAGTAGGGATGTCTGCGGGGGAAATTCTGACAGCTAATTGACGTAGAAGGGCCCAGCCTACTGTGGGCAGCACCATTCTTTGGCCAGAGGGTCCTGGGCTTTACAAGAAAGCTCGCTAAGTGTGGGTCTGGGCCTGTGTTTGCTTTCTGCTTCAAGTTCCTGTTTGAATTCTTGCCCTGACCTCCTCCTTCAATGAGGGGCTATAAACTATAAACTGAAATAAACCCTTTCCTCCCTTAGCTTGTTTTTGTTCCTGGGTTTTGTCATAGCAACATGAAGGAAAACAGAGCAGAGGTCTTCCCTAAAGCATTGTATCCAGATATCTTGGTTATGGATTTCTCATCTCCTATCCTTCAACACTCAAATCTCCGGACATGTATTTTAATTCAAGCAGTCTGCCATTTCTCAAATGTATTACAAAAACCAATCAAATGTTACACTACTGGGGGCTAGAAAGATGGCTCCATGATTGTGGTTAAAGCAGAGGACCAGATTTCAGTTCTCAGCAACCATGTCAGTGGCCCACAGCTACCTGTAATATTGGCTCCAGCAGATCTAGGCTTTGAAGACACTCATACACACACACACACACACACACACACACACACACACACACCAATATACATCTTTTAGAAACAATACAATAAAGGGGTTGGAAGTACAACTCTGTGCCCAAGGACCTTTATTCGATCCATAGCAAGCGGGGGGGGGGGGGGGGGGGGGGGGGGGCACATGACACACCACGACGACAACGATGATGAGGGAAAGGGGGAAGCTCTGCTTTATATTGACAACCAACTCTCTCTTCATTTCTTCCCCCTTACACATTGCAGCCAGTCTCAAGGCCCTAGAAACTCTGTTTACATGGAATAGTTTCATAGATGGCTCCTCCCATATCTCTCAATTGTGGACCCTTGGAAGGCAAATATCTTGGCCTAAACAAATACCCCCTAACTGGTGAATCCGTCTCGAAATATTTTCCTTTGGGCAGGTGCAGGTTTCAGAATATATCTTTTAAGAAATATCTTTTCAGATATTCTCACCTGTGAAATGATTTTCAAAAGCTCCCTGCCATGAGATGAGCTAAACATCCCTTTCATGTGATTTCGTCTTTCCTCTGCAGACTGATGTCTCTCTATCTTTTGCTTGAAGTCTTAGCTGTTTATTTAATTAATCATACTGCTTGCTGTTTCTTGCCACTGGGCCAAGCCTCTTACCCTTATACCTTCATTTGTTCTAGTCCTACTTGAGAAGAAGGGTCAAAGGATTACTTTACCGTTTATTAGTAAGCAAAATCCGTGCACAAATATCACACAACAAATGGGAATCGGAATGAGCTACAGCCACCTAATACACCGCTCGCTCATTCAGGGTCGGAAAGAGGTCAACCCCGCTGTCTCATTTGGTCACAGCTGGGGCTGTTCCAAAAGAAAACTCGGCCTCTTGAATCAAAACGCTGCTCACTACTGGCTAGCGGACTGGCGACAGAAGTTCTATAACATATATAACATATATGTGTGGATGTTATGTGTATATAACACACACTTCAGGATATATTTGCTCTCTGATCCGCCCTTTGGCATCCTTCAGAAATATTGAGCAGTCATCAAGTCTCGCTTTGTCAGGAACTACAGTGCCGCTCTGCTTTGTCCTGAGAGAGTGGGAAGTTGCCTTCTAAGCTATGTGTGATATTAGTATTAGACAATTTACTTCCTGATCTGAACTGGTAGCAGAACTTATAATTTTCTCAGACACAGAGGGTAACTAATTCTGGAAATAGCTGCTACTTACCCATAGACTCTGAAGTTTGACTGCCAACCACTCGGAGCAACATAGGCTGACTGCTATCAGACCTCTGCAGAGAGGCCGAAGGAGAGGACACTGTGGTGCCGTTCACCTTAGCTTCAGCCTGGGGCTAAAGTATGCGACAGAAAAAAAGTAGTGTTTTTTCACAATAAACTCACTAAAACTAAAAGAACACTATAGACAAAAAATAGGAACGTTATAGACACTCAGGACTCAGACATTATCACGATTCCTACTTAGAAACCACACAGAAGTTGGGGAATGTGGGATATTTTATTGCTGATATAATTCATGGATATGCATTTGCATTTATAAAATGCATTTATAAAAATGCAGAAAAATATAGATATGGTAGGACAAGAATAGGAGTCAGCAAATTAAGAGGCTAAAACACTGAGAAGGCCATGTAAGGACAGAGAAAATATAAAACTCCCAAGAGTAATGGAGAGTTTATAGTCTTGAGAGGTATAAGTAACACAATATAAAGAACATTATTTTAAAATTTGAAATGCTCAGAAAACCTGGAGCCTGCCTGGCTCGGGTCTGTTTTAATGCTGTATCCTCCTATGTTCCCAGTGGAGGCATAAATCTTTAAATTCTATGTTAGGGTTAGGAGAAGAAAAACCCCAAAGGTATACTACAAAATATAACTACTGTCAGATAAGAGAAATTCATTTTAACCAGTCAAAACTTCATTCCCAGAGAATGAATGGAAATCTTCTGGCATTTCCCTATAAAATGCACTTCCAATTGGTAAAAACAAATGAACAGAAACAAAAACCGAAAACATATTGGGAGATTAAAATGATACCAAAAAAAATATTGACAAGTACTTTAAAGCTTCAGTACAAACACCTGAGCTGTGTGTTTTAGTTTTATTTAAAAGAGGAAAAGTGAGAGTTTGTAACTCGCCAATATTAGAGAGGTGGGGGCCTTACCTGTTCCAGGAGCTGCCTCAGTCTGTGTAACTGAGACTCCAGCTGCTTATTGTGGTCTTCCAAGATTTGCATCCTGGCTTCCAGGCGTCCTTTGTGTTGACGCAGTAGCTTGGCCTCCGCAATGAGCTCAGCATCCCTGGGACTCTGGGGAGAGGTGGGCATCATCTCTGGAGGAGACGGCAGTGGGGACAGGCCTTTACGCTCATGCTGCTGCTTCAGACGATCATACTCTGCTTGTAGGTTCCTATATGTATCAGAAGTTAAGAAAGAAAGGAAGAAATATTAGTCACGTCCCCAGATTCCATATAACTGGCAAACAGATGAAACTGACCATCACCAAACAAGAACAAGCAAAAGACAGGCACTAATGAATGGTTTGTATGAGGATGATCTTACCGATGCTAAAGGAACAAAACAAAATCGGAAGCTTTCGACTGGTGTGTGAGGAGAGATGTTTTTCAGTTTTCATGTCATGCTAATAGTCTCACGGGTGCTATGTTTAGATAAGTAAGCAGCAGCAGATTTCATCGTTTTGTAAGTATTTCTTTATAATGTGAGATTAAAATTTTATGCCTCGATTCAGACTTTAATTTAAAAAATAAAAGTGTCAACAAAAATTTACAAGAATAAATGCACGCGTGCGTGCACACACACACATACACACACACAAAGAGTACACCATGTATTCATCATCTTGCTTTAATAAATTTAACACCTGCCATAATTTCTGCAAAACCTTTTCGGTTTTAGAGGATTTTTTTATTTTTGCATGCAAGCATGCATGTTATGCTGGTATAGAACCCAGGGTCCTGCACATTCCAATTTTTCTTTTAAGAAGTAAAATACAGCAGCCAAACCTAAAATGACCCCAGTGCACCTTACCAAATCCATACCATACTCTCCTCAGCATCACCACTAAGGAAATAATGCCATACTGAATCCTATGTCCATCAATACCATGCATGGAGCCATGTGTTACCTTGAAATTAAGATGCACTTATTGCCTGTTCTTTACTTAGAAAAAAAGTAGTCATTTCATGTAATTCAATCTAGCATCACTACTTTTCATGTTCTTAAATCTTACATTTAAGAACTTTATGCTGAAGAATATACATACCATTATGAGGTGCTTTTTGCCTTCCACATCATTTTTTGCAGTTGCATCCATGTTGGTACATAATAATTTGTTATTTTATTGATATTAAGGTTTTATCTTGTTGCTTGAATATGTCCAAGTTTTCAGTTTTCCACTATTACAAACCACGATGCAATGAACTTCCTTATAGCAGTTTCTTTGGATATTGGTTTAAAGGAGTCTCTAAAACACATCTTGATGTGGGATTTGCCGAAGTGCTCGCTCTCCTAAATGGTTTTATCTATTTACTCTTTCAGCAGTAGTGGATGGAGCATTCCATTTGCCACAATCTTATAAACAACTTGGTATTAGCAGACATTCACATTTTGGACCATCTGATGGCTACATTTTAACCTTCACATTTCTGATCACTGATGAATTGAACTTCTGTCATAACTGGCAGTTGAAATTGAAATGTGAAATGTCTCCCATATGCATGTTTTTGAACACATTGTACCCAGCCGCTAGTGCTTTTTGGGAAGGCTGAAGAACCTTTAAAAGGGGTAAAACCTGGCTGCATGTATTAGGTCATCATGGGCAAGCCTTGAGACATTGTAGACAGGATCTGACTTCTGGGAAAATTGTTTTCCTCTATTAAAGTTATTGATATAGTACAGATGCCTATTTTTTGTAAGGTAATATATATATACATATATATATATATGTATATAGTACACATTAGTTCATGCAATGATTTTTTTAGATTTACTTATTTTACTTTATTGAGCCACCATGCAGGTGTTAATAGCTAATCCTCTGCAAAACCAAATTATCTTAACTACTGAGCTATTTTTTTAGCATATCTTGCTATATTTTGGTGTACAGTTAATTTTGTGAACATTCTATAGTATAAAAATAAATTTCAACATATTTTTTCACAGTTTTTGTTTTTATGTTTGGCTTCAGATAATTTTTCTTAGAGTTACATTATAAAACTTAAAATTGTGGGTCAGGCCTTATTGTTGATGACAAGATTTACATTAGACGTGGTGAAATCAAACTGATGCCTAACTAGAGCCTTCACCCATACCAACTGGTGTTCAAGGTACCGAAGGATACTCTGCATGCTACCGAAGCAGAAAGGAAAGTGACAACCCAACTACGAACTCTTTGATCTACAATGGTGACCTGTCTGCACCATAACCTGATGTAATAGTGGCACAAAAGTTGTAGAAGTAACCAACGACTATTTAATTTGATTTAAGACTCACTCCATAAGATTGACCCCATGCCCAGTACTGCTCAAGTGGCCAAGAACCTAAGACTAAATAGACCATGAACCCATGAGAAAACCAAATACGATTGTGCTAAAGGAACATAGCAATAAAATGACTCAATGATATTTTGATTTATCAACAGAGCAGTGTTTTACCCAGCCACCATCAGAGAAGGCTCCTTCTCCTGTACATGGAAACAAATATAGAGACTCAAAACTCGATAATGTGCATCACGTAAGAGACTTTGGAATACTCAGTCTTAAATGGGATCTATCAAATTCCCCCTCCCCAAGGGCTCAGGAAGCTTTGTGGAGGAGGAAGTCGGAAGGTTGAAAGAGGCAGTAGGAAGAGGAGACACCGAGGGAAAAGTGCCTTCCATATACAGTAGTATTGACACACATATGAACTCGCAGAGTCTGTGGCAGCATCCACAGGGCCTTCAGTGGTTTAAGCCAGATGGGGTCATAGTGTTGAGCAGGGAAGTGGACAAACACCCATCACTAACCCAGGAGCTATCTCCAACTGACAACAGGTCACAAAGGAAAAAATTAGTTTTTTTTTTCCAATGGAGTCTCATTGGGTACACAAACCACACTTAAAGGCAGGCCCAATGCCCAGAAGTAGATGGCTAATGCAAAACAAATTCAATGGTACTTTTGAAGGTATTTTTTTTGTCTCAAAATGCTTTATGTGCTCAATTTTTTAACCTCACAGATCTTTTACTTATATGTTATGGTTTCTGATTTTGTGTTTGTGTGGGATTTTTGTGTCTTATGGTGTGGTCATGTCTGTGTCTGTATGTGTTTCTTCTGCTTTCCCTTTGGCTCATTTTTTCCTGTTTGTTTGTTAGTTTTTCCCTATTCTGGTGTGTGTGTGTGTGTGTGTGTGTGTGTGCCTGTTTGTTTACTAATGAGGGAAAGAAAGAGTGTGGATTTGGGTGGCTGGGGAGGATCTCAGAAGAGTTGGGGGAGAAGAAACTCTGATCAGAATTTAGTGTATAAAAAATCTATTTTCAATAAAAGTTAAAATTATATAAAACCCCATGGTTCCAAGAGATGGCTTAACAGGTAAGGTTTGCAGTCAAACTTGATGATCTGAATTCAACCAGTGGGACTCAAATAGTGGAGGGAACGAACTTCTACAACTTGACTTCTGACATCCGGGTATGTGCTATTGCAACACATTCCGCCAAAACACACACAAAATAAATAGCATGTCCTTTTTAAAAAATATTAACTTTGTACTTTTTAAATTTTGAAGCTTTAACTTTTCCAAAATCTACTTTTTTAAAAATTGATTTTATTGAGCTCTACATTTTTCTCTGCTCCCCTCCCTCCAACCCTCCCCCAAGGTCCCCATGCTCCGAATTTGTGTATAAAGTGAATATATGATCTCATTTTACTTTCCCTTCACTGATAAACATTCAGAGCAACTCCACTCACTGTGTTGGGTTTCTGTCATTGTCTGTGCAATATATCAAATGTCCATCCACAGACAGTTGTGTTTCTGTGTTCTCTACTCTATTCCATTGGTTAGCATAGCTTCAGATCAATTGCTCTTTGGTATGGATTCCCATTTCCACTCTATTCCTCCTCAAAATTATCTATGTTATTCTAATCTCTTTGGTCTTCTGTGTGATTTTAGTATCGAATTGTCAGATTTCAGGAAAATCCATGATCATATTTTGGGTTTGAATTATAGTGAATTTAGATATTAAACTGGGAAGAACTGTTCATATAATTGAGTTTTCACACAGGAATGGGATAAAGCTCCTCATTATTATTGTCTTATTCTATAATATTTTATATTTACAGTACTGTGTATTTCACTTTTTTCCTCGTTGCTTTCGATTGCTTTTTGTTGTTGTTTGAGACAGAGCTTTGCCATGTAGCCCTGGCTGGACTGGAATTCTCTAAATAGACTAGGATGGCCTCAAATTCAGAGATTTTGCTTCTGTCCCCCAGTGCCTGGATTAAAGGTGTGCGCCACCATTAATGCTTACTTTTTACTTTTACTATTTTTTAATAAGCACATTTGAGATACTTTTTCAATTCTGGGCATCAAAATTTTATATATGTGTATATTTCTTTACTTAATTCAGTTGCTTATTTTGTAATGTTCATGATTTTCAAATTCAACCAATAGTGATTTAGAGGTACAGATTTTATATTTCCAACCACTTTACTAATCATTTTAGTATAGTTTCTAATTCAGTTTTATTTTATTCAGAGAATAGCTGTATGATACTAGTCCAACTATAATCTAAGTATAGTTCATAATCACTTTTTTAAATGGGTACTTAAAAATGCATATATGAGGCCGGGTGTGGTGGTACATGCCTTTAATTCCAGCACTCAGTAGGCAGACACAGGCAGACCTCTGTGAGTTCAAGGCCAGTCTGGTCTAAAAAGTGAGTTCCAGGATAACCTGGGCTGTTACACAGAGAAACCTTGTCTCAAAAAAGCAACATCAACAAAAAACATATATGTTGCTTTTCAAAAGACAGTATCTATACCTAGAGTGCATTAATTTTGTTTACATTGTAGGTAAGTTTACTAAATTTCTGATTCCATTCAGCTAGTCAATTTCTTAGAGCAATGTTGAAATACAAATGGTTTGTTTCCCCTTTTGAATCCATTACAACCTACTTATGTGGGGATTATGCAGTTATATGCATAAAGACTTAGATTGCTATTGATTTTTTCCCTCTATAACTAATCCACAATATTACAGCATACAAATATTCCAATGCTTTAGGATTTACTGAAAATACAATTAAAAATGAGGAAACTTGGCACTTGACTGGATAGACTCTTGATAGCTTTCTTCTAGTTACAAAACCTAGCAAATAAGATTAAAGATTTCAGCTGTTCATAGATATTGTTTCATCAG